ATGGCATAATTGCAATCCCCGCATCATAACTCCTTCCACTTTATCCCAGGTTACAAAGTTTGCCTTTAATATAAAATTTAGGAATTACGTTGACTGAATTTATTCAGAAAAAAGTTAACAGGCACACCAATAAAGCGTCATTTCCATTCTTCACAGAAGCTCACAGTGCTACAAGACATCGAAACATATTAACAATTACTTTTCCTATAAAGTTTTTATTGAAAACACTTAGAAGCATGCTATCCCATAACTGAAAACATATTTTGAAAACAATCCTTCTATTAACGGAGCTGCCAAAACTGCCTAAAACGAAACAGTGACAGTAGCACTTTCCATGCATTTGGCAGAGTTCCCAGAATTTAACGTGCATATTCTGTGAGGAGCCCTCGTGGTGTGGTGGGTAGGCATTAAACCAGCAGCCGCTCCACAGGAGACAAAGATCGGGCTTCTACTCCCATGAAGACTTACAGTCTCAGAAATCCAGAGGCAGTTCTACCGGTCGTGTAGGGTCACTCTGAGTCAGAATGTTTTCTGGACTAGTCTATTTAGTCCTCAATGTTTAAAACGTAGCAGTGAGGTAGGTACTGTCTACATTTTCCATACAAGGAAACTGAAGGACAGGACGGGTAAGTAACTTGCCCAGAGTCAAATTGTGGGTCTGGGATTCAAACCTAGGTAGTATCCTGTCTCCAGTCTTGGCTCTTATTCACTAGAATACTTTTCCTGTAAGACATTTTGTTGAACAAAACCTAATCATGGCACGAGTAGAATAAAGATGTGTAAACACAATTTCATGCTCAGAATAAGAGTTTATAATTTCAAATACCGTACATTGGTTTGTACTTTCATTCCAATTTCCTTTTTGCCCAACCAGTAATATTTCTCTTTATTCTTTTAAACAAGTGCTTGCCTAAGGAGCCCTGGCAGCATGCTGATTAAAAATGCTCAGCTGACAATCAAAAGTTCGGCCGTCCGGCCCTGTCCACTCTTGAGAGGTGGCAGCCTGCTTCCATACAGCTTTCCAGCCTGGGCATACACGATAGCCCTATAAAGCCACCAATCACATCTACGAGGAACAGTCTTCAGAACCATTGACTACATGGGTCCAAAAGGGCAACATTTGCCTCCAAGCAGTGTCAAGTCAGGGGCGGGCCGGATGCCAGGGAGGACGGAAAGGGGGAACCCAAGGACTCAGGAGTGCTGAAACATCGTGGGGATGGCACCCAACACCAGGAACAAGTTGTCTCAATCCCCTGTGAGAAACCAATGGACTTTGTAAACTTTCCCCTAAACCACAGTATCCTTCTTTTTTACATTTCATGGAAACCGTACTCTGTCCGATAGGGCTGCTATGACAATTGACTTGACAGCAAGTTTGATTTTGCTTTTACAAATATAAAAACCTAATTTTCAGTTCAGAGCACATAACAGTGCTCATTATCTAAAATGAGCCTTTGGAAATAAATGAAAAAGCAACAAATTACTTTTATTTTTGCCTTTAGAAGTATGTTCAACTTCTAGAAACAACCCTTAAAAAAAAAGCAATAAACTTACTTAGGCTTAGAAGTCTTTGCCAAGTGTATGTGCAAGTTGGCTCATGCTATAGGTAATAAACCCAGACCTCCAAGAACAGCTCAGCGGTCAGCAAGATTTTTTCGATGGACCCTTTTGTGTAGGCTCACAATCGTTAAGAACCTGAACCACTTAAAATACTGAAGTCACTTCAGTATCGTAGGATGTTTCTTGGAGAGGCAGTGAGAAGCCAATCCTGCTCCTGAGGGGTTACTGTGGGAATGTGTCCGTTTTCTTGGATGACACTGATGTAGACAGCGAGGCTGGCTTAGTAGCCTGGCCCAGGGAAGTTAAGTCTTGCAACACAAGAAAGCCCAACATGATGCAACTTTGTGCAGCATCCTGCGTGACTTTCAAATTCACGTACTTGAAAATGTTTATCTGTGCCTAGAACCTAACTGCTTATTCATGTATTCTTTAACCATGATAGTTTGCTCTATACTATGCATTTGGCTTTACACTCACCAATTTTTTCAAATATGCAACTGACATAAAGTCAGAGATCAAAAACTGACTTCAGGACGTTACTGTGGTTCATGATTTGAAGACAGGAGAGGGGGTTCTGTCAGTGGGAATGCTCATCTGTGAGTTATGTCTAGTTGCTGCTGTCCACACGAGTCATTGCATCAACCTACTTCATTGTTGTCTCCTGTAATGAAGTCCAAGCACTCACATCAAACTGAAATATAGGAAGGGATTCCAAAAAAACCCTGGAGTTCCCCCCCACCCCACCCCCAACGCTATGTATTTAACTTTTTTACAAAACAACCTTATCACTCTCCATTACACTTAATACATTTGTCAATAGCTGAGATTCTATTCTTGGAAACATTTTCCAAAGTCATCTGTTTGGATGGCTGACAGCACCTCCCTCGTTTTTGTTGACCTCTTCTGTGTCGTCAAATTGCTATCCTTTCATGTCCCTCTTCATTCATGAAAACAAAAAGAAGCGAGGTCAAGTGAGTTAGCTGCATTGAGCAAAAAAAGCATGCTGTTTTCTGCCAAAAATTGGCGCACTGAGATGGCTGCGTGAGCAAGTGCGTTGTCGCTTGGTGGCAAAATCAGTCCCGTCTGCTACAAATTAGGTCTTCTTTTTTGGTATCACATACTGTTAAGCAATCTTTTCAGAACCTCTAAAGCTTGATTAACAGTCTGACCTGGTGGAACAAACTCCAAATGTACTATCTCCCTCACGTCAAAAAACATGAGCATCGTCTTGATCTTTGATTCCAAATGACGAGCTTTTGGGGGGCGAGGTAATGAAGGTGTCTTCCACTAACTTGATGTCTGATTTCGGGGTCATAAGAATAGAACCATGTGGTCAGTCAAAACTCGCGTCATTTCAGTGACCCTCCTCATTCCCAAATCTTCTCTTAAAATTTGCTGAACCGAGCTCGAAGATAGTCCACCAGATAACTTCATCTCTTCAATGGTCCACTGTGGGTCTTTGAGCACCAGTGCATGAATTTTGTCATTTTCATCTGTTCAAACAAAATTTCACAGCTGCACTCTATTCTCTGAAATCAGCCATTACAAAAAACGAGATATGAGCAAAACTGCTGGGCAGACCTTTTTCCTGTTTGGGGTCAGGGAGATTACCCCTTGTACATACATTATGATGTGCATTATGTATATGGGAGAGATCTCTGAACTCTAGTAAAGGTGCATATTTTTTCTATTAAAACGAGGCAGTGGGTCTGATAGGGTCAATTTTTTATATTAGCTACAGCACAACTGTAACTTACAAGATGGAAATTTGCTAAAGATAACTTACTCGCAATACATTCCAAACCCCAAACTCAATGCTATCAAATCTATTCCAGTTCATATAGGGCCTCCAGGGCTGTCAATATTTTGTGGGATCATCAGCCTGGAGCTTCCCAAAGCTTACCAGAGAGAACCACCGGGGCTCTTTGCCCAATACACCAGTAAATTACATCTCTTTAACCAAATGGAATACAAATCCTGTCCACGCCTCAACTTTCGATTTGGAAGCCACAAGTAAATATCATGCCATGTGCTTTCTGATAAAATGGTATGTACTGCATTTTCAGATGACCACGAAGATGAGCTAGGGGGCAGGCGCAGTTGCTTTAACCTGTGCCCCCTCCTCTTCCACCCTCACTGATGTGTAACATCAAGCTTTGTGAGGTAGTGGGGCTGTGCAGAAAGTCAATTGGTAATGGCTCCTCCATCTTTCATTTCCATATTGTCACTCTGACTCAAGTAACTCAGCACTTTCTATCTTCCTCCTGACTGCAAAGTCAAACGCTTGCTTCAGCTGATGGACACAACCTTTAATAAGGGCCAAATGAAAAGCTGCTTAACAGTTCACTGCACAAAAAAAGACATCCAAATGGTTAAACATACATACTACAATAAATTTTTCCAGTAAAGACAATTGCAAAATACAATTTTTAAAATTTCAGAGAATTTAGTCACTATGAAACCATATGTAATTCTACTTATCATATTTTTAACTTTTAATGTGCTCACATCCCTTAGATAAGTGGTTCTCAACCATCCTAATGCCTAAACCCTCTAATACAGTTCATGTTGTGGTGACCCCCTCAATCATGAAAGTATTTTCGTTGCTACTTCGTAACTGTAATTTTGCTACTATTATGAATCAGGCAACCCCTGTAAAAAGGTCATTCGACCCCCAAAGGGGTCACGACCCACAGGTTGAGAACTGCTGCTTTAGATGAAAAAGTATTCAGAATGGCAAATCCCAACTCTGCAGAAATGAATGGTGAAATTTTAAGGTTTTCATTTAAAAATATATAACAGTAACCTCCACAGTGGGCTTTCTTTGGAGATTAAGAATGAACTGTGTGGTAGTCACATAATCTGTTGTCAATTTGAGTATTCAGTGAGGGGGTGGAGTTTAGCCTGTCAATCAGGTCGCAGCTTGATGACTTCATTTGGAAGCAGGACACACACTCATTCCCCGGGAGACATTCCTGTTGACAAAACCACATGGAGCTAAACTGATGGCAGCCAGAGTCTTGGAGCTAGAGAAGCCATGGTCAGACCCACGCCAGCACTAACATGCTTCCACCATCACTGGATCCACAAGACTTTCCACTCACTGTCCTATGATCTTCCTGTACTCAGCATCATTGCATGTGTTGCATGAGTCTGAAGAGGAAATAATAGACGGGTATTGAACATATGGCCTTTATTGGACTTATGGACTTGATCTGGACTGCTTTCTCAAGATTCAATTGCTCTTGTATATAAAGCTCTTTCTTATATGCATGAATGTCTATGAATTTCTCTAGTCAACCCAGACTAACACAAGCTGTGATTCATTAATTGCTACAAAATAGTGTCTTTAAATGTGAATGAGTGAAACAATTGAAACATTTTCCTGTGCTTTTGTTTCTAGGTAACACACTTTTAATTCTATTAAATGAAGACACTCATTTGACAAATTAGTTTATTAACTTCAGTTGAGGGTTGTACATAAAATGGCCATAATGAAAATTCATATAAAGTGAGACTAAATCATTTATTCAAACATCATGTGATAGAATACACTTTCTGAGACAATAGTACAGTGGTAAACATTTCACCTCAATGACATTCCACATAAAACTCAGTTAAATTGTAACATAATCTGGCCAGAATTGAAAAACATTTATGCCTGTAACCACTCAATGGTTTAACAGGGAAGTGAATTCGGATCTAGGTTTTGTTGCTGAGTTAATGAATATGACAATCTAAAAGATGATCAAAATCCCATGTGCCTGCAAGTTAAATTTTATGAACCCTGGGTTCATTGGTATATGTCCAACTTAAAGTTATCTTTATAGTCAAGATTTCATTAACTATTACCTTCTCTCCACACAAAAAATAAATATCAGGAACAAAAAGTAAGGATAAGAGTTGAATTTCAAACCACGCTTTGATACTATTAGTCTCTCTTTTTAACTGATCACCTATAAGCATGCAAATAACTGTCCTCTGAACGACACTGCTTCCACAGTCTCTTGGGTAGCAACAGGTAAATTAAAAAGGGCATTCAATTTGTAGTTCTCTCCTTTTCCAGAACACTTCTAAGCAGTGTGTGTGTGGTGAACAACACGAGGTAGGAAAGACCATCATTAATAAATTATCTTCTTAATTGCAGAGACTTTCTGAAACTAAAACGTGACAAAATGTGAAACCGTGCCTCTGATGAGCGCCATAGGAGTCCCGGCCTATTTCAGGAACCGCTTCCAGGGGTGCTGCAGCCTAAGCAGGGCCTTGATAACAAGTCCACCGGGCCTTCAGACAACAGCACTGAGATCGCCTTCCTCCACTCTCACTTGCCGATTCTTTGGACCACCCAGTCTTGCTGACAGAGGGGACAACGGTTGTTCTGTTTCACCCACAGGGACATGCAACAGTTGTGGAAGGAGTGATTACATTCTCCCCAGACCACTGAAAGAAAAAGAATTCTGAACATTACATATTCCAATTAGAATCCAGTCCTAAGCTCCAAAATAGCTTTGTGATTTTCTATTATTATGAATAAACAATCAGCTTCCTATTGACTTAACTACTAAAGGGTTAGCTGGTCAAAATAATTCCTTCTATTTACAAAGCAACAAGTAGAAACTCCCGTGTGGAAGTGACATTCATGACATGACAAGTTACTGGGTTTGGGGCCTTTCTGTTCCTGTTCAACAATCAGAGGATGTGGTAGTTAGTCTACCACCCCCACCCACCAGCCCTCATTCCTACAGAGTGCCACATGTTGGCTCTTCCTGAAGTTAGGGACGTAAAGCATGAGTCTTCCTTAAATCCAAGACCTTCTTGGTCATACACTGACCCTGGAAAACTTTTGTATTTTAACTTAATAGAAAATATCCTTCCAACTTTTATTTACCAAGCTACGTCGAGTTTAGAATGTTGCCCTTTCATTGGAGGCTATTGTAGAGATAGGTGGAGTGCACCTCCTGGGTTGTGCTCTAAGGATAGTAAGCCAAGCAATCCACAGTGGCACAATCCTTCACGGAATTTCCAAGTGGCGAGAGAGAGTGGCTTCACCGTGATCACAGACAGCTGCTCAGTCTCTTAAAATTCCTCAATTCATATTTCTCAAACAAACGGCATAAAAGCAAACCTTAAAACCAAGGGAAATCACTGCCGAGCTGGAATTCAATCTCAAACTTAGGTTTTGTCCCTTCCTCGACCAACTGAACTACATGACAAGGACCAAGATTAAATAAAAGAAATAGGAAAAAAAGAGAAACAACAACAACATATTTCTTAATGAAGTTGACTGCAGGGGGGAAGCAGCAGGGGAAAACATTCCAAGTGTTTAAGGAAGCAACAGCAGAATTCAGGTAAGAAACTGTGTGTCAACCAGGAGAACACAAAATTGACCTTTCATTCCGGGGAAACCTGTAAACCTGCAACAACTTCAAATCGATCACTTCAAGGGCTAGGACATAAGAACCTTGGAATAATTTAATTAGGTTATGATAACTTTTATAGTCTCAGATTACAAGGAAAATCAAACAGATTTCTATACACAAACCATGTTCCAAATAAAATACTTGAGATTCAGATTTTCTCTATTGGTTGAAAAATTAAATAGTATATCCACAAAAGGATATTGAAACTGAATTGTTTCAGAATAAAAGCTTAAGAATATGAATCTATAGCACAGCCACAATTCAAATGGAATTGAGGCCAATTCCTTATTTAATAATTTTCATAAAAGTTATTTCTATTTTGATTAACAAAATTACAGCAGCCTTACATGGCTATATAATCAACCCTTCATTATAGGCAATGAAATGACTTACAGCTTTATTCCATTAAGGCTTTCTGAGAATCAACACATGTTCTATTAATAATGAATCATTGCTTTACAGTTTATTTTTGTGTATTGATAAAGTCAATCTTAGAATTGCAAATTCAAACATCCCCACTGAGAGGAAATCTTCAGTTGAAAAAGCAAGAGAAAGAAATTACAACATACCAACACAGTCCTCTTGTTTGTTTTCAGCTTGACATCTAAGGCAGGCATCTAAAAGTAAACAAACAGCAATTCTCATTCGGATGCTCTGGATTTTAAAAACCCAGATGCTTCAAAGTCAAATAAAAGCCTTCAGGGTTAGAGATGAAGATAGAGGGCTCATACTATTCATTTCTCCTCAGAGTGCAACTATTTAAAGATGAAGAGAGACCAAGGCGCTTTCCCGAGTACTTATGACCAGGAGCAGTTTCACAAGGGTTCCTGACCCTCTATTTTGACAAGCTCTGATGAAAAGATGCCTGGACAGCGGATGCAACCACTAGAGAAAAATATGCTGTGCTCTACCTTATTAGAAGCTTGCTGGGCATCCCCACATTGATCAACCACTGGGACAGTTAGTTTTCAAACTACCCTTTTAAAACAAACCATATATGAGTGCATGTGCATTTTCTAACATATACACAAAGAAACAAATGGCGGACACTGAAGAAATAACCAATAAAGTTTATCTGGGAAAGAATGAAATTAAGTTTTCACTATTTGTAAACTATGTGATTGTATTAACCTATATAAAATTTCAACAAAAAAAATAATTCAATTAAAAAATTTTCACTTAAATTGAAAACTTTTCCCTTCCTCTCCCATAGCGAGTCACTCAGACATAAGTAACAGAAGTTTCCTTCCTTCAGCCATTCATAAAAAGTAACCTGCTTCTCTCCCCCCTCAAGAACATTTACAGGTTTCTTGCAGATACATTATCTTATATGCTTCCAGCTGGTCACCACTGGGGGTCACCTAAGCAAGACTGCTGAAAAGGCTGTGTGGTGTAGACGGGAAAGAAAGGGTTTAGGAACATGCAGATCTGAAGAGAACATTGCTGGTTAGAAAGCTCAAGGAGTCTAAGGCCCTGTGAAATGGGATCACATCAGGTGTTTCTGTATCACCTGGGGGCAAAACCAGTGAGAATTGGAGAAGATGGAGTAAGAAATACCTAAGTACCTAATAAAAGCTCTCTTTGTTTTCTTTTAAAGAAAAAGGTCTCTTTACAGGTAAGCCTGAGCCCAAAGTTATCTACCTAAAACTGACAAGTAAATACTAGGAAAGGGAGCCTAAGGGGTAAACTAGAAATTTTCAAAATTCAGTCTGGGATGTGCCTCCATGAACTGCCTCTTTTGCCATGAGCCTAAAGGAACTAGATAGTGCCCAAGTGAAAGATTCTACAGAAGATGAAAGGAGAGAAATGGGCAGAATTTCACATGTTCATACACTCCAGACTTTCTGGCGCCAAGGGGGGGCGCGTAGGTGTTTGCTGGATAAACCCTCGAAACTATTACCCGGAGATCATCTCTAAAATTTAAACCAAATTTATCCCCTGAAATCTTGAAACTAAATAATCACCAAGCTTAAATAGTTAAAAAACAAAAAACCGCCTTGAGCATTACGCAATTTTAAGAACTAGTTAGGCAATAGCAAGGAGAATTGGTGGTGCAGTGCCTTAAGTGAAGGGTTGCTCATTGCAAAGTCAGCAGCTGAAACCCACCAGGGGCTGCTTGGAAGAAAGATGCGGCTGTTGGCTCCTGTTAAGATTTAGTCTCAGAAATCCTAAGAAATCCCAAGGTCACTAGGAGTTGGGAGTGATTCCATAGCATTGAGTAGACAGAGGATCAAAGTAACAACAGCAACTCAAAAGACTCTGATAGAAATTTTAGGGACATGACAGGATTGCTGAAGACAAAATGAGTGCATAAGCTAATGTGGTGAAGAAAGCTGATGGGGTCTTAAAGGCTTGAAGGTAAACAAGCAGTCATCTAGCTGAGAAGCAACAAAGCCCCCCTGGAAGAAGCACACCAACCCATGTGATCGTGAGGTGTCAACCAGGATCAAGCATCAGAAGAGCCCAAACAAACAACCATTTCAAAACGAACAAGGGGGTCAGAATGGAGATCCAAAGCCCATCAGTACACAATTGGACCTTCCCTGACAGAATGGTCCCAAGGAAGGGATGAGCCAGCCAGGGTGCAGTATAGCATCAATGAAAGAAACACTCTCAACATTCTTCTAGTTCTTTAATGCTTCCTCCTTCCCCCCTCACTCTCATGACCCCAGTTCTATCTTACAAAACTGGCTAGACCAGAGCATGTACACAGGGACAAATAAGAGCTGGGAACACCGGGAATCCAGGACAGATAAACCCCTCAGGACCAATTTTGAGAGGAGGGATACCAGGAAGATAGAGGGGGAGAGAAAGGGGAAACACATCGCAATGATTGCCATACAACTCCCCCTTCCCCACTCCAGGGGGACGGAAAAAACAGAAACATGGGTAAAGGGAGACTGCGAATGGTATAAATATGAAAATAAAAATAATTTATAAACTATCAAGAGTTCATAAGGGTGGAAAGATAGGGAAGTGAGGGGACAAAAGAGGAGCTGATACCAAGGACTCGCGCAGAAAGAAAATGATGATGGCAACATATGTACAAATATGCTTGATACAATTGATGTATGGATTGTTATAAGAGCTGTAAGAGCCCCCAATAAAATACATTAAAATAAAAACAAACAAAAAGAAATTTCAGGGACAGTAAGTGTGTTAATGGAGGAGGGGCAGTTCAGAAAAGAACATACCCAATGTGCTGAGTTGTATGCAGAAATGGCTGAATTGCTGTTATGTTTTGCTGTGTATTTTCTCAAAAGAAATTCAATCTGGGGTACAATTTACTGAAAAAGGATGTGCTACTGTATATTTCAGATCATCTGGAAGAGGAATCAAAGGGAAGCTGAAACCGACAGAAAAGATACCTTTTCCAAAGACAGGAGAAAAAGAATTCTGTAAAAACAGACACACCATTGAGTTGAAACCTGCTTGTCTTATTACAGTGGACTGGTATTTGTTTGCTCCTCTCCACAGGATCTAACCCTAAGAAAGCACCACAATACCAACCAACCATCTCGGCCTCCTGAGGGTGCTCTCACTCCCTAAATCCCAACCATCGACCCTGTGAGAGAAGGGAATTATGCATTGGGGCAACAGAATGACCATGCTCTGGACCCTGATCTCAGGCAGCTCACCAGCAAATGGAGAGAGCAAACCAGCACGGGAAGATTACATACAGTGTGGAGAAACGCTATCCGGCTCTGGCTCGATGGCTTCTGTGCTATCACGGAGTTGGAAAACGGGAGAACTGTAAAGCGAACACTCAGGATTAAACCGCCTCTTTTACAAGTTAGGGAGCAAGTCGCCAGAAGGTTAAGTCAAACAACAGCCCTGAAAGTAACTCCACCTTTTTAGAACATAGCCACCAGCAAACTTCCTCCTCTTTCTCAGTCTGCTCACTGAGCAGATCCTCTGCTCCTAGGAGAATGGAGGAGGGGAAACCAAAGTGCTACCCAAGGCACAAAGGGCTGGCAAGCAAATTTTGGAGCAAGAAGTCAATAATGTATGATTTAGTTATTTGATATAAATTCAAAATAGTACAGAAATAGGGTTAAGTGAACTCTTGTTGAAGAATCTAAAATCTCCCAATTATACTTAAGCTTTAGTTTACATAGGTCGTAAAAAAAACCAAAACCTCAAATCTATAAAAATTTCCAAAGCTTCAGATTATTTTTTTAATTTTAATATCTCCAGTATCTGAAGTAGCCTGCTTCTAATGTGTACAAAAAAATAACTGCAATATTTTTTAGTCTGACTCTAAGGTAAGGACTGGGAAATCTTTAAAACTTTTTTGGGGGGTCTGTCCATTAAGTGGCTATTAACTCCTCATAAATAAAATACAAAGGGCTAGTCCACAATACTTAACCCAAAGTATAGGTCCTATAAACCTGCAGCATTAATTCTTCAGAATATTTGATATAATGACAAAGTTAATGATGATCTTCAACTGTTTTTAACCCCTACTTTGACCAACATATTTATAATCTCAATGACCAGAAATTGACCCATAAAATGTATTTGCTATAGAATTTGATTATTTTAGGTTTCTCCATTTTCATTTACTATTAAAACATTTCTTTTCCTCTAGGGAGAAAAAGTCTTGAGATAAATTCTTTTTACACTAATGAATAAACGTGTTGAATAAAAGTGTTAGCAAGTTTGTCCTGCAAAAGAAGAGATAATTAAGTTGAATGGAGTGGTTAAAAATGTGACTCAAACTAGAAATTATGATTCTAGTTCTAAGGGGCTAGCGGGATCAGGAAGAGGAGCTGCAGGCACATAAACCAGATGCTTAACACAAAAATCTAACATGGGAAATAAGGACTCCATGTCTCAAAATTAAGTTCTTCAAAAGTAAAACATAACATTTTGAATCTCATTGTAAATTCTCTGAAACAAGCCTTTATAAATAACAATAAGTGTGTACAGTGAGTATGCCATTGATGCTGGCTGATTTTTATGACTTGCTTCTACCAAGCCAAAAATCCCACTGCCGTTGAGTCAATTCCAACTCGTATGGACCCTATAGGGCAGGGTAGAAATGCTCCTGTGGGTGTCTAAGACTGTAACTCTTTATAGAAAGCCTTTGGTGGTTTTGAACTACTGACCTCACAGGTAGCACCTTGCTTCTAAGAAATCATTTACCATTATGTCTACCTTTTCATTTCCATGTGCTGCAAACAAAATACTATGTTATTTCCCTTTTATTTCACTGTAGTGTTTTCGATGTACAGTATTAAGTATATTATGTATTCAACATATAGATTTTTTTAAGGGAAAGAAATTTTCTTCACGTTATTTTCACCAATTCTCTCATTTTTAGGACAAGTCAGTTTCCAAACCACAGAAACCTCAGACTTGTTCACTTACCCTGCAGAAGTACTTAAGATGCTAGCGCAGTAATTTTGCATGCTCTATTTAAAAAGACACCTTGCAGTTACACCTGTTTCAAGGTGGCTTTAGATCTTAAAACTGAAACCTTGTAAAACATCACTGGATTAAGCTGTTCTGAAATGTTCTACTTGGTTCAACGTCTTTTAGTTAGAATCGTCATGGGAAGAAGTAAGAGCTGTAGTCTCCACAAAGGCCTGGCTGCGCAGGGCAGCCTTCCCTAGGATCTGGCATCGTTTAAGACGGGGGGCAGGGGGCGAAAGTTCGTTCCTGTGCAGTAAAAGCATAGCTGGTGAACAAGAAGACGTTCACTCTTCAATTCACATGAAATTAAAAATCCTCCAACTACATTTATTCCCTTCAAACCAAACGGGTGCCTTCTGACGCAAACTCTAGTTCCAGCGAAGGGGACAATCACTTTGGTGCGCGACCATTACCCTGACCCTTCTATGGTTCTGCTTTTCCAGACGGGGCGGGGACACGGAGCGCAGCGGCGGCACCCGCGGTACGTCACCCACGTTGGGTTTCTTGGTCGTCTAATGCAAGCCTAAAGGTTGGCGGTTCAAAAGTCCTGGCAGTCTGTTTCCGAAAGACCCCCCCCCCCCTTTGGAGCAAGTCTGCTTTACGTACACAAGGATCTCCCGGAGTCGGAAGCAATTCCCCTGCAAGGAAAAGGCGCCGCCACCTGAAAGGACTTGTTTATTCCTCGACTTGTTAATCATCCGCCTCCCTCGGCAGACGAGCCCGACTCCGCCCCTCCGGCTGGGCGCCGTGGGACGACCCCGCGGCCGCGGAGACGGCGGCCAAACTGTCAGGGGCGCCCCCGCAGCGCGACCCCCGCGCGGTGCCGGGCTGCTCGCTTCATACGGCGGTTGCGGGCCCGCAGGCGCGCCCGGAGCCCGGCCGCGGAGGCCGCGGCGCGGCCCGAGCCTCGGTGTGACGCTTACCCATCACCTGGACCCTGCAGATGGCGCACGTATCGCACTCGACGTCCCAGCTCCACATGGCCACCGCGTTCCACTTCTTCAGGGAGAACATCTTCTCGGCCCCCGCCTTGGAGCCTGCGCCCCCGGAGTGAGAGGCGAGGACGCCGGGCTCCTCGCTGTCTTCCACGTCGGCCATGGCGGCGGCGCGGAGCCGGGAGCGGAGACGTTGGCCGGGGAGGAGGGCGGCGATGGCGGCTCCGCGGGGCCGCCCGGCGGGACACAGCGCCACCAGCAGGCCGTGGGACGCCGCGCTGTCCCGACCGGGGCTGCCCGCGACGAGCTGGCGCGGCCCGGTGACGTCACGGACGCCGGCTCCGGGGCGGGGCCTCCGTCCGCTGTCTCCCCGCCCGGAGACCATCCGGGTATCTTGGGACATCACGAAATTGAAGTCTGGCGACTCCTGATTAGTGTTAACTCTTGCCCTGCCCGCCACAGATTGTGCAGGAATCACGTGCCCTACTGTATACCTTCGTTAAACTTACCACTTAAAAAAATTGCCTTACTAATTTGTTACCGGAGAGCAGGCTCCACCGCCATCAGCGTAGGGAATATACTTGATCACCATCTTATCTTGGGCTCTTAGAAAGGATCCTAGGACCCCTCCAGGTTCCTTACTCCTGGGAACTAAATATTGGTCTGAGTGACTAAAAAAAGGAGGAAAAGTAAAATTGAGGTGGACTTGGAGACTTTAACGACATACAGGTTCATTTGAAACATTCAAAAGGAACGAAAGAAAAGATCCTAGGCCGCCTAGGATCTTTTCATTCTTTCCTTTTAGGGACCTTGCGCCACACGTTGAAAACCTCGACTTAGTTGAACCTCTTCCTTTTATATGTGGGTGTAATGAGATCCAAAGAAGTGAAGTAGCAAAAAAATGGCATTGCTTTTATGTGATACTGAGTTTTAAAACCACAGTCATTCTGCTAAAACCAAAAATTGACTGGCAATCAGTCCCAACTCGTGGTGCCCGATGTGTCAGAGTAGAACTGACCTCTGCAGGGCTTTAACGTGGCAGGTTTGGGTGAAGTCGATTGCCAGCTTTGTTCTTTGTTCTGAGGCACTTCTGGGTGGACTTGAATCACCGGTCTTTTGACCAGCAGTCAAGCATATTAACTGTTCCATATTCCGATATTTTCCCAAGGAAAGCAGACAACATGTCCATTTCAAAGAGAAACAAATCTTGAGTTACAGAGGTGCTTGATTCCCACCTATCTTAACTAGTCTTCTAGACTGCTATCACAGAAATGTCAAAAATGGTCTCGTTTCCCACACTTTAGGAGTCTAGATTCTGAATTCAGGGTGCCACCTCAGAGGAAGACTTTTTGGTGGTTCTGAAGGAAGGTATTTATATCCTTTGAGTTTAGCTCCTGGGTGATCCTCATGAGACCTGAGCTCTCTCTCTGCTTACTCCGTGGCTTGTTTAGTCTTTATAATCTAGGCAGTACCTGTTTAGAGCATACACAGAACCACATTTAGAATGGTCTGTTTGCTAGTTTTGTGTATTTTATCATTAGTAATATGTACTACATATTATGCTGCCTTAGCTAATTTAATCTTATTCTTAGATATTTACATGCAGTTGTTCAAAGATTGCATTTACAAAGTTATTGATAACGAAGGGTAATAAAAATAAAAAAGGTATTCAACTTAGATCAGAACAGACTTGTGAGTTGTCTTACTGGTACCTTGTCCTAAGCCTGGGACTGCTTTCATGTGCTTCAAAGGAGATTGACTTAAGACACATACTGCCACTGCTTTATTACATATCCCAAAACTCAGTTCCAAATGGGATTATGACTACAGGTATAGAAGTTATGATTCACAGCTCATGGTTTGGGGGCCACGATTTGATCCACAGGTGGATACCTACTGTGTCAACTTTGGGATTCCCACCTCTTACAGGGTCTTTCAATATCCCCTCATTCCTCATCCTAGGCTTTGTTTGTGGGCAGGGGTTAAACTAGAATTAAGGGGCTGTGGTGGGAAAAACAGGATTTAAACATATGTAAAAAAATAAACAAATACGGACACAGGGCCAAGTGTGGGATTACGCTCACCAGCCCTAGAATGTTCGAGCAGAAGCCTGGCTCCGCTCTGGATTTCAGGATCCTTTCTTGACTTCTCATGCCCAGTAGTCGGTTTTGTTAAAGTGGAGAAGGGGGTGTCTTTTCTTTCATAGAAATAGATGTCCTTCAGTAAAAGTGAGTCTCCAGGACAAGTGGACATGTTTGCCATTTATTTCTCTGGTGCTCATTCCAGACCTCACTTCCCTCTCCCCCAACGCCATTCAACTGAAGTAAAATAGTTCTTCCTTGAATTACAAAACAAAATCATATCTGATGTCATTTGCTTGTTGAGCTTAGTTTTGCCAAAGGAATCAGTGTTTAGGACTTCAAGTAAGAAAACAGTTCTGAGCAGCAAGAGCTCAAAGTGACCCCCAAATGTGTACAACGCCTATGCCAGCAAATGCCCACTGTCTATATTTATAGGCCCGTAGGTGTTTGGTCAATTGATTTGGATCTGGATGAAGTTTTGTGTGGATCATAATAAACTGTGCTAACATTGAGAAGAATGAGAATTTCAGAACACTTCCCTGTGCTCATATGGAAATTTGTATGGATCAAGAGATAGTTGTCAATGTTTTCACCCAAATCGTTGAGTCCTTGTGGTAGTTACATAATTTCATGTCAACCTGAAGATATATGAAAGTGTAGGGGTAGTGTTCAACCTGTCAATCAGGTCATATAGCCTGATGGTGCCTCCTTGTGGGTGTGGCCTTCTCATAAGGAGGGTCCTGGGAACCTCCCACCCACCCACCCCTCTGCCTTCACCTTCCTGCTGACTGCACCGATCAGCCTGTGATCTTCCTGCATTGGACATCATTGCACGTGGCTTCATGAGTCTGAAGAGGGACTTATGGGCTAGTATCGGACTTTTGAACTTGAGGTGGACTGGGCCGAGATGTTTTTTTGATAAATAATTACTTTTTTATATAAAGCTCTGTCTTATATGAGTGTTTCTGGATTTGTTTCTCTAGTCAATCCAGCCGAACACAGTCCTTGTTCTACTTTATTCACCAATTGAAATCAAGTGGACACTGCATACAAAAGAAACAGAAAGCGGTTTTAATGTCTGTGCACATAAGGGACAGTGTGGGGTCTGGAGACCAAGTTGTCACATGCACCCTGAATTAAGGCACCTGGTCCTTTATTCCTTTTGAATTCCAGCATTCTGACTCTTTCCCATCCCTCTCCTCTCTATAAGCTGCCTTTGTTCATAGACAGAGGTCTGATTGGTGAGTCTTGTTCTCCAAAAGTTCTCTAGACAGACATCTCAGTTGAGAAATAAACTCAGGTAGAACATTAGGTCAGAAAATGTGGACCAATGTGCCAATGGTTCCTTCCAGTGACTCTCTACTTTGGGGTGACTTGAATATTATGAGTTGGGTTGCTAACCTCAAGGTGAGCTGTGGGGTACCAGCCCCCACAATTGAATGGGTCCAACGGGTGGTTGTGTAATTGAGGGGTAAAATTAAAGAGCCATCTTAGAATATAAAGCATGTAAGTGTTCACCTCCAGGATGGCCATGATCTCAGCAGCCAGGTCTGCGAAGAGAGAGATTATATTTCCAATCACGGCTTACGTACCTTTTTGGTGGACATGCAAGCCCCTCTGATTACATCATAACAGGAAGGGGTTGTACCATAGGCATACATGCAACAGGAGGGGGAAGCACCAGGGGTACACATGTGACAAGATGGACTTGTGTCCACCACAGGGTTCTCTAGATTCAAGATGGCAGCCTAATGTTGGTCCTCCCTGAGTTGGCTGGACTTTGTCTTTGGGCTTTCCTTCAGGGGAACAATGCACTATCTTTATCAGCAGGGAGTGGGCCCCACCTAATGCGGGACAGACAATAGGATCTGATTGCACTAGATGGCGGATGCCCTCAGGAAGATAACCTCTGAGCAGTTGACCTCCATGTGTTCTTAGGTTGGCGTATTCAATCTGGATGCTGAGCAAATCATCAGAGAAACCGGTCTATATGAAGAAGAATGTAGCGTCAGGATTACAGTAAGATTTATTAACAACCTGTGATATGCATATGACACAATTCTGCTTGCTGAAAATAAGAACTTGAAGAACTTGCTGGTGAAGAGGAAAGTTTGGGGCCTTCAGTGTGGATTACAACTCAATGTAAAGAAGAACAAAAACCTCACGACTGGACCAACAGACATCATAAGAAATGGAGAAATTATCAGCATTGCTCAAGATTTCATCCTGCTTGGATCTAGAATCAATATTCCGAGAAGAAGCAGTCAAGAAATCAAGCAAAGTATTGTTGTCAGACTTTAAGGGGTCTGGGAAGTCTGTCACTGCAGTCGTCAAAAACCAGAGAGCAGGTTGAGTAGAGAAATCCTACGTTTATTACTGCAAACACTTTCAGAAGGAAAACAGTCAGATTTTCCCTTTGAGCTGAGCTCAGTCCTGACCCAGCAAGTTAATATACAAGAAACGGGTTTTGACAACGATGACAGGAAGAGATTAGCAGGCTTTTTACAATGTCGCAAGATAACAATTGACGCTCTAAGAAGCCAGGATTCTAGTTCCTACATGTCTCCAGGGACAATTACAGCACCATCCCTGAAGCTCCGTGTGTCCTTGTCTAACCTTTCTGAGTCAGGACATGCCTGATGTTTAAGCTTAAAAGGACTTTACTGCAAGGGAGCAGGGAGGCTGCTGCACTTTGGATTTTTAACAAAATAAATCTTAAAATATGTTATATTTCTAGTATTGATTTTTCTCTACATTAGTATTGCCTTAGACAAATCTGCTACACAAGACCTCTGTAAATTGTCAAAGTGCAAGGATCTCATTTTGAGGATTAAGGTGCTCTTGACCCAAGACATGGTATTTTCAATCACCTCATATTCATGTAAAAGTTGGACATGAATAAGGGAAACCAAAGAAGAGTTGATGCATTTGAATTGTGGTGCTGGTGAAGAATATTGAAAATATCATGGCCTGCCAGAAAAATAAACAAATCTGTCCTGGAAGAAGTACAGCCAGAATTCGCCTTAAAATTGCAGATGATGATACTTGCTACCAGGAAAGCCCAGTCTCTGGAAAAGTATACCATACTTGATAAAATAATTGTGATGT